TAATCGCTGCCACCTCCAGCTMAAATGAGCTTTTCTGGAGCAGGGCAGGAATTCTATTATAACAACCCCGAGTAAATAAACACAAAACTGATCCTGGAGCTGAGCAGAATCCAATGTGGGGCTGAACTGACTCCCAACTGCTCTGAGCTCAGCCTGGGATTCTTCAATTGTGCTGATTTTGTCTCTGGGGCAAAATAAGCACAAATTCCAAATGTCTGGATATTACAAATGCACAAACATTTGGAATTTTGGGACCTCACAAAGCGTTTTGCAGGGGCAAAGTCACTTCCCAGAAAAAAAAGAAGGTGCAGGGCTTTCCATTCCACCTCTTACTGTGCAGCAAGAGCAGCTGCTCTGTTTTCTTCTCCCAGGAAAAGGRGACAACAGGTCAACAGGCATTGAGGAATCACCAAAATAATCCCAAAAAAAAAAACCTAAAAGCCTCTTCAAGTAGAGCTACTTTGTGCCACTCAGCAATCTCAGCCTGCTGCCCCAGATAGCTGAGATGGCTCYGATTTTGAGGCCACAGGAGGATATTTACAGTTAGAAACCATGAAACCCATCTGCCTCTTAATTGTTTCATTTGATGGCTGCACATAYGAGGAATTCCCTGAGAAACACTCTCTAATTAGCCAGGCCTAATGACCTTCCAAAAATCTCCTGTTTCCTTCAGAGTTCATTTGAAAAGAGTGGGGAAAGTCGATCTTGGAAACTTCTCAGTTCCACAGGAAGAGAAAGAAGATGAAAGGAGCTGGAGCAGAGGGAGATGTGGTGGAAATGGGATGTTCAAGTCTAAGGAGCTGGAGCAGATGATGATGAAGGAAGAGGAATGAAGGAGGAAAGAGCAGCAATGAACATGATTTTCCCTGAATGAGCAGGAATTGCACGTTCACAAGCAGAGGAGGGGATGTAAATATTCATTTAATGGGATTGTGAGACTCAGGGACCAACAGCAGCTGCAGAGCAGGAGCTGATTGCCCTGGCCCCACATGGACCTTCCCCTGTCCAGCTGCAGGGCTGATCCAGATGTGGCTCTGCAGAGCCCYTGGCACCATCCAACACCCCCCAGAACATTCTGCCACTCGCAGCTGGGCACATTGAATGTGGATTTATCCCCAAGTGACTCCACAACCATGGAGGCTGCACCATGGTTGTGGCATGGAGGTGATGTGGAACCATTGCTCAAGAGGGTTTTTTTTAATATAATTGTGGACAAAATAGGGTGGAAATACACCTGGAAATACAACTTTAATAATYTGAAATGTTGTTACTGGGCCTTGCTCTCCAAAATTCATGTCCAAGCTCCAAACTTCCAGCAGGAACAYGTGGAGAAGGACAGGAGGTGAATTTGAAGGCTGCAGAGCAGTTTGGTGGAGCAGCAGTGAGTGCCCTTCTCTCCAAGTTTGTGGTTTGGAGATTTTTTGGGGGTTGTGGTTTTTTATTTGCCTTTTAACGGTACTCTGAAAAAAAAATCCTGTTGGGAGGGTTTGGGGCAGGTTACAAAAACACCGTGAGGTTCTGAGTCTCTTGAAATGCTGCAAAAGGCAAAAAGGACAGAAAATATTGCTCAGGAGGATTGTGCCAGGTGAGAAGGCTGCAGATGGTGAAAAGCTACAGAGAAAATCATTTCCCAAGTGAGAAGGAATTGTTGGGATGCACAAACCCAAACAAGCACAGGACACTCTGCTAAAATCAACTTTCCAGCAGATCACTTTTCAGGGAGAACCCAAAATCTGCTTGTACTGGAAACCTCTGGTTGTTYTGGGATCTGTTAAAACAACCTAAACCCCAGCACGACCCAGCTCCAGGGTTTCTTGCTGCCTGATGCACCAGAGTTTTGATTTTACAGTGAGTCAGAACTGCCACAAAGTTCAGCCAAAGCTGCAGGTGGGATYACAGATTCTCCCCACTGAACTCCTGCCAAGCTCCTTCCCTTCCTCCAGCAYTTGATTCTTCTCAAAACATTGATTTTTCATATAAGGCTGGAGTGGAATTCACGAGTTGAGCTGTACTGGTAACAGATTATTTCAATTTGTGCTCATTTGGTCTCCAACCTTTGGAATTTTGGGACCTCACGAAGCGTTTTGCAGGGAAAAAGTTGTTTTTTAGAAAGACAAAGATGTCAGGCTTTAATTTCAGGTTTTTCTGTGTCCTTCAGCTGCATCATGAGCAAGTTTGTTCTGTTTTTAACAGTCACCTGTAGCTGCTGAGGAATTCCTAAAGAAAACCAACTGCATGGCAAAAGGCTGTGTGATGAATAAAAATTAAATAAAATCTGCCCTGCGTGCCTCCTGTAAAAGCCCAAAATGCCCAAGCCTTACTCCAAGGTGACAGGAAAACAACTTTTCTTCAGACAAGAAGCATTGCAAGTGTTTAACTCTTCCTAAAAAAAAAAAAAACCCAGATTGCATATTCAGGGAAATTTTACTCCAAACACCGCAGAAAACAGAGTTATAAAAGCCAAAGAACCTGGCAAAAATAAGTAGCTTTGTTTCAATATAGCACCAGACTCTGTCACTTGGAATGCTCACTGTGGAAATGCTGCCTAAGGCAAGCAATATGCTTCCAATATTTCAGTCCAAGTTCCTCTCCTGTTCCTTAAAAATTTAAAATTTCCCAGCTCAGCAGCAAAATATCCTCAGGAACAATTCCTTTCATGTCATGCCARCTGGGTGACACAATGGAAAAATGCCATATGGGCACTGCAGGAAAAGTGCAGCATTCCCAGGGAGGAATCAGCAGCATGAGAGTGATGGTGCTGCAAAGGGAGGGAGGAAATCCCACTGGTCACAATGGGAATTCCAGGGGGAAAGGGCTCAGGGAAAGCTCAGTGGGATCAGCACCTTCCCTAAGGGAGAGATGGAGTGAGAAGAGTCCACTGAGAGCAACGAGAATCCCAGAAAATGGGGAAAAAAAAGGATGGACAGCCCCACCCTGGAACTGATCCCACAGTGCTGGGATGGAGAATCCATGTGGGTCACACCAGATCAGGAA